TTGACAATTTTGCCAAAAATGGCAGAGCTGTGGGTGGTTGGGCAGTTCCAGCGGCGGTTGCGGAACTGCCACTTGCACTCCTTTATGGCAGTGTGCAGCCCAGCAGCGATGGCGTGCAAGATGCCAGGATTCTGACGAATCAGCCGGCGCTGGCGACGGCTCAGGAGGGCCAGGCTTGGGTCCAGGACCAACTGCACGTTCTTGGAATTGGTGAGGAGATTGGATGAGGAAGCCACATTGACAATACCCCTGACATGAAGACAACAGAGACAACAGGGGACATCAGAGACAAGTAGCTGCTTCTTTATGTTGCTTTAGGTATCGGATTTTACCTTCAAAATTACAGGTTTTATTTGTAATATAAATAAATGCATGTTCTAAAAACACGAGGAGGAAGTGCAGTTCAAGTTTTTGGCTTACCATGAAACTAAATCTTTGTTTTTTTCTCACTTGGACCTGAAATACTTCACAAGGGCATTGGATGACTTTGGTTTATAAGTCTCTTATTGGCATGATTCCACATTATTTGTGTACTTTTATACGAAGAATGGACAGTAGTTATGCCTTACGCTCTAAGGACTGTTTGCATCTTCATGTTCCTCGTGTGCAAACAGAAAAGGGCAAGAAAGCTTTTAGCTTTTCTGTCCCCTCAGCTTAAAATGCCTTGCAAGTTGAATTAAAACTGACAGAACTTGTTACTTTGAGTGCTTTTTATAAATTAAAAAAAAAAAACGACAAAGGATGTTTTGTCAACAGTGCGTTTTAGATCTTAAATTGTTATTGTTTTAAATATTTATTGCCATTTACTGTTATATTGTATGTTTTATATTTTTATATATTTCTGAAGTCTTCATAATCTTGCTACTTGTTTTGGATGACGTGTGTTGCTGCTGCCTGTTCTTGGCCAGCTCACCCTTGTGCAAGAGGTCTTGATCTCAATGTTTTTTTTTTATCTGGTTAAATAAAGATGTAATAAAAAAAATCAATAATCCAAGTTATGATTCGAACAAACTCCTTAGTTAAACATTCTTTATATTTTTCCTGAAAAATATTTGCTAGGTATGTACTGTCAATTTTCTATTCATTAAAATAAATAAATAAATAAATAAATAAATGCTCATTTTGTGACTATACATCAAACTCAAATCTGTTCTTAAATGACTAAAGAGGGGAAATAAATTATGATTTTGTTTCAATATTTTACAGTAAAAATGTAAACAACTGTGCTGATTTTCTCAACAAAAAAAATACTGATAATTGCCATAACAATAAAATCTTCGCCTATTGTTTGTATTTGTGGCCATGCACCACCTGTGCTTCTTGAGTTTTAGTTTGGATCACTAAACAGGATTTTAACGCACCCATTTTTGACTTTCAGAACATTTTGAGCCTTTCAGCCCCCCCCCCCCCCCCCCCACCACGACCACCACCACCACACACACTTCATCGGGTATCTTCTATTAGATATTTGCATGGACATGTGGGACTCCTGTGGAGTCTCGTGGCTGCGGCTCCTGTTGAGCGTTTTCATCCAGAAACACGGGCCTGGGCGGCTTGACCCAGACTCTGGTGCCGCGAGGCCTCATAAATAATCATATTAATATCCTCTTTTTTCCTCCCCTCTTGATGGTTTCTTCTTTCCAACCCAAATTCAAGTTGTTTTCTTGGAATCCAGCTGACAATTCAAAGACATGAAAACTGAATTACACCGCAGGGATGTTTCATTAAATGGTTGCGCGCAAAGCAAGACAAAATGCAGATCCGATTTTTGTTCAGACATTTTTAACAAAGTGGAGATCTCATATAGGATTTCTTTCAGCAGTGAAATAAAGCCACATTTAATTTATCCCACATTGTATGGAGAAGAAAAATGTCAAAGCAAAAAAAAAGAAAAAGTGAACTTATTGGCCCCGCAAATGTGGAGTGTGATGTCGCTAATTTCATTGATGTGAACAAAATAAAATATTTTTTCAAGATTTTAATTTTTTTTTTTTTTTTTTTTTAATCTTAAGTGAAGCAATTTGGAACCGACTGCACAAAATCCCACAAGTTATAACCACGCGGGTGCTCCCTTCATGCTGAACAGAAAAAGTGAGCAGTTCCAAAACAAACACGTTACTTGGAGCTGCGCGCAATAAGAAAGCAGCGTTTCTTCTGAACTCATGGGTTTTATGTGAGGATGCTGAACCAGCGCATGCAGCATCTGTCTGCACTCACCACCACCGGCCGCTGTTGTTCACCGCTCCTGCGCGCGACAGCGAAGACACCAGGAGGATGCAGGCGGCTTTCACTCCCAACAGCAGCGCAACACTCCTCATCCTGGCTTCACTTGAAACGGACAACAACCAAACTTAATTACAGCCTTTGCATGTGCAGCTGGATATAATTGCAGCCTAACATGCTGGACTCACCTCCCCACAGTCCGCTGAGAGGAGCTGAGAGATGCTGCAGCCCTAATTGACTCAAAGGGATCTGGAGAGGAGACAGGTTGCTGAGTGATGTGAAGTGTCCTGGCAGGATGCTGCTGCTGTCCTCTCACTGTGTCTCTCTCAGTGATGTTTGGCGAGGCGCACTGAACGCGTGGGACAGTCTGGAAGACTTGATCCCCTCGGTGACTGATAGGCAACACATTCTTCTGTTATTAAGCGCTACGAGGGGAATAAAAAAGGGATTTGCTGCTCTCATCTCCCTCTGTTTTTTTCCTCTCTCTCTCTCTTTCCCTCAGCCTTTTCAATAGGATTGGAAGGAGGGATAGTTAATGCTCTTCATAGGGCGCACAATGAATAAGGAAACACAAGAAAAGAGGAAGGAAGAGAGAGGAGGAGGAGGAGGAGGGACAGGGCAATCCAAAGTGTTGCGCATGTTAGTTGCGGAATCTCACGGTCGTCACAGAATCGGTCACCTGGAAGAAAAAAAAAGTGTGCGTCTCGGAGGATTTTCCCACTAGCTGCGCGCTCACTTCCTCATTAAGTCTTGCAGAGAGGAGATGTAACCCCCCTCGAAGTGAGGATGTGTCAGGACAGATGTTGAGGGTGCTCCCGCCGTGCTGCTTCACGGAACTGAATACTTACAGCAGAGTATGAGCCATCTGAACTGCCCTGTCCCTCCTTGGAGTGGCCTACTCCCTATAACCGCATCTCCTCCTCTCTCCAAATGCGCACTGACTTATATGGCCCCACGTTTCCTCTTTTCACGGCTAAATGCTTCACAAATTACACTATAATATTCCAGTAAAAACGCCTTTTTGTGTGGGCAATAAAACCATTATCACCAGGCTTTAAAGTCAAAGACGTGCTCGCGCAAATAGAAACAATAAGACTACTCATACTTCTTGCTGGGCTACTTAAAACACTTTTTTTAACGAGAGAGACATGAAATATGGTCTCCAATCAGAAGTTTGATGCATGATGAAGTTGGCTTGGAAAGGGACGAGCCAGGATAAAAAAGCAACCCCTGGAACATCTGGATTGCAGACCTCCCTCGTCGCCGTGCAGCACTGCGTAATCACAGCTTGAGCTACTTTGCGGCATCTCCATCAAAAGCACAGACTTGGAGGAAGACTAACTGTCCCCAAAGTGCTCCATGTTTGGATGGATGTTTTATTGCATGCCATGTAAATGCCGATTTGCATGTTTCCACAGTATCGTGCATCCATTGCAGGTTGAATGCGCTCTCTTTCCTCCGCTGCTGTCTCTCTCTCGTTAACTCAGATGACAGTAAAAGGAAGTGGCCTTTTGTACAAAAAAAAAAAATCCTTAATGACAGCCATATATGAAGGAGCTCAAAGGGGTTTCCTGGAGCAGTCATGCGACACCGAGCAGATTAGAGCTTCAATCCGGATAAAGGGAGCCTTTTATATACAAATCAACTTCAAATCACTTTTTAAGCCACTTAGATATACACACCGAGGCAGAATGCTAATGCACTTTTCATTGCTGCAGCTTAAGGAGGAGATTAGATGAATTGGTGTCACTAAGCGAACCGTGTTTGATGGGGGGGCTTAATTTTATGAAAGCAGCACGCATTCATCAGCAGCAGTGTTTGCGATTCATTATGTTTAATTTGAAATACCAATATGCTGATATGACACAGAAGAGCTGATCTTTATTTGAAATCGTTTATTTTCCCTCCTCGAACTAATTTTAAGGAATAATTAAGGTTGTCATTTTCCAGAAGCGGGGTTGATGCCATAATGACGTCAGTTTCTTTGAAATAAAAGTTTTTTTAGGTGGACAAAGTGAAGTTGTTTCAAACGCAACAATGAAGAGCAGCAACTCTGATGGAGGTGGGAAGGGGGTGGGTGGGAGCCTAAAAAAACAGTATTGTTGTGGGTCCTGTGAGCCGAGCCGCTTGCCTTCTGCTGCCTCCCTGTCGTACAGTGGGAGCAGCAGCTATCCCCCTCCCCCATTCAGTTTTTAAAATAACTCCCTGCTTTATGAATCAAACCTTCCACGGCTTACCATTTATCATTCCCTTTGTTTGGTTTCTCGGGGAGGAGGGAGGAGAGAGAGAGATGGGCGGGGGGGGGGGGGGGGGTCTATTCTCCATACCTATAGAAATTATGGATAAATATTCATGTTTTTAATGTGACACCAAATCTGTGATCGACTGAACTTGCTACGCGCTCCTGCGCTCAAAACGTCCTCGTGCGTAAAAGTTTGGAGACGTCACTTTTACGCTCGGCGGAACGACCGCGTTCCTCGATGATTCAATAATCAACCGGTGATCCAAGTTTCATATTGGCCAAGATTTTGCAAACAGTCGCCTGTGGAGGCATCTTAACTCCCCTCCCCTCTGCCCCCCCACTTCCAGTTCCCCCTCGCCCCCGAGCTCTTCTGTTCTCCGTCTTCACTCCTCACTCGTTTGGCGGTGCGTCGATAATACTCCACTCTCTTTAAAATATATATTTTTCTCTTTTTAAATATACATTTTTTTTTTATTCAGTCACAGGAAGTCATCACCATTGTTTTAATGTCACGTCGCGCAAGACTCCTTACAAAATGGTGCTACCAAACAAACTCCGCTTGGATCAATTCCTGATTTTGGCCGCAGCACTTATGTCACCTGTAAGAACGTAAGTTGCGCTTGAGAGCGCCAAGAGACAGTTGATGTTACATTCTATTCGTGGAGAACAGATGGGAACTTGTTTCATTTAAATGGAGATTTATCCGATTTATTTAGAAGGTGAGACGTCTGCCTGTGGTTTAGGAAGATAAATTAGTTCAATATTAAAACAATGAAAATTCATATTTGTTCATTTTTTTTAGTCTTCAAGAAGATTGAACTTATTAAATGTGAGGTCTGTTTTTTATTATTTAATCTGTTTTTGATCATTCTTAGCTTATATAGAATAAGATTAAGCAGCTAAGAGGATAACATTATATATTTGTATTTAGGTTTTATGTATATTTATAAACAGGTTCACTAAAAGGCATTGTTTGTGTAATGTATTTTTATTTTTTTTGCTTTGTGAAATTTGTCTTATCACTTCCTTCTGCCACTTTCACTATGTATGATAAACTCCTGACCAGCTCGGATGCGCCCCTCCCCACCCCCTCTCCACCATCCCTCTCCTGCAGGGTGCTGTGTAATGATATCCTCAGCCTGAAGGTGGCAGGAGACCCGGTTCTAACCCCTCATTCTGTGTGCCTGAGGCTGGTGGGCCTCAGCAAACGTCAGATGCGGATGTGTGTTCGAAATCCAGACGTGACAGCGTCCGCTCTGCAGGGCATCCAAGTGGCCATCCACGAATGCCAGCACCAGCTCCGGTACCATCGCTGGAACTGTTCCACACTGGAAGGCTTCGGCAAGCTGCCCCACCACAGCACTGTCCTCAACAGGGGTGAGAGTCCTCTAGGCAAACTTACAGTCAGTGATAGTTTGTGAGAGAAGGAAATGTTCTGGCATTTTTAGAGCTACACTGATTGTTGTCTTCAGTTCTCTGAGTGTGCTCGTCGTGCCCCTCAGGTTTCAGAGAGAGCGCCTTCTCCCTGGCACTGCTGGCAGCGGGTGTGGCTCATTCTGTGGCCTCGGCCTGCAGCATGGGCAAGCTGCGAGGGTGCAGCTGCGAGGCCAAGCGTCGCCAGGACGATGACAAGATCCGTCTGAAACTCACACAGCTGCAGCTGCAGGTTCTGCAGAAGGGTGGAGTAGGCATCAACATGGCAAAACCATTACCCTCAGAGCTAAATGGTCACTATGGCAACCTGTCCACCAGCCTGCACTCTGCCCACACCTCTGCCCTCCTGAAGCCTTTGTCTGATGAGCTGAGCTCTATGCAGGACACCTGGATGTGGGGGGGCTGCAGTCACGACTTGCGTTTTGGAGAACGCTTTTCAAGAGATTGGCTCGACTCCCGGGGGTCTCCCAGGGACATCCACGCTCGCATGAGGATACACAACAACCGTGTGGGACGACAGGTGGGTAATGTGCCTCAGAGAGCAGTCTCATTTATCTCATCATGCTGTCTGTTAGTTACAGCATGCATCTTTTCTACACAGATAGTGACCGACAACATGACAAGGAAGTGCAAATGTCACGGCACGTCAGGGAGCTGTCAGTTCAAGACCTGCTGGTACGTGTCCCCAGAGTTCCGGCTCGTTGGATCTTTGCTGAAGGACAAGTTCTCGTCAGCCATCTTCGTCAACTCCCAGAACAAGAACAGTGGTGTTTTCAACCCACGGACAGAAAACAGGGCCGGTGGAAGCTCTGGGGGGTTCGGCGGAGGGCGCCGTCGAAGCCTGTCCAGAGAGCTGGTGTATTTCGAGAAGTCTCCTGATTTCTGTGAGCCTGACGCGGCCTCGGACTCTCCAGGCACGCAGGGGCGCATCTGCAACAAAACCAGCCACAGCACAGACAGCTGCAGCTCGCTGTGCTGTGGCCGCGGGCACAACATCCTGAAGCAGACACGCAGCGAACGTTGCAACTGTCGATTTCACTGGTGTTGCTACGTGCTGTGCGAGGAGTGTCGCCTCACAGAGTGGGTCAACGTCTGCAAGTAGATTCAGCTTCCATGTGTAACTCTTCCAGAAAATCTGTTTACTCACCCCTGTCCTTTTTGTAATTTTGTTTCCATCATCTGGGTTCTATTTTCTCCTTGTAGCCGCTGTTATTCTCATAATGCCAAGTCAGAGATTGAAGAGGTGACTCATGTCGTTTGTCTTGCTATGGTCTGTTTAGACGCTTGTCTTTGAGCAATGAAAAGGACCTATGTCCCATCTCTTCTCCACAACAAGGGGAGCAGCAACAGAGGAGCTGTTATCTTTCAGCGCCTTCTTCTTCCTATCTTTTTGCTGTACAGTAGCTGGGTCTTTTATTGTGTATGTGTACATTTGTAAATGTGTTATTATTAATATGATTATTGTACAAGAGTCTTGTTGGGTTAAGTGAATGTAAGATTGAGAATTACCATTTTAATTTCTACACAAACTTGTTTAATAATCTACAAATGAACTCTGTATATTTTGCACCAGTGGCTCACACAACAAAACAGCTCCCATTTGTCCCATTATTTCTAGAAAATGAGACAAGAAGTATTTTATTTTCAATAAACTGAACACTTTCTCACCAACAGAAAGCACACAACTTGTCTCAACACACCAAAGCTCAAGTACTTGTCAGCATGTTAAAGCTGAGACTGTTAATTCAGACCTTACAAAACAGCTAATAATCCAGCTCCTTTTATGTAAGTTATTGTAAGAAATGTTGCTAGATCACACTGTTTCCATTTCTGTCAGTATGACTTTATTGTGATGTATTTCTCTTGGTTTCGTCTAATACTCTGTAAAAGGGGGTTAATCTTGATGCACTGCAGATTTAGAAGGTGAGAAGCTTCTTTTAATAGTCACTTCACGCTGAGAGAAGGACATTTTATGGGCGCAGGATATGGTTCCCCTAAAGTATTTCTTTTATTATTGCTGGTGCGCCGCATTGAGACAGTAAAAAGCTCTGGTGCTTATAGGAGTCAGAGGATCTGAGGTGATCATCTGTCCAGAGTTTATATCCAGGGATGTGACTTGTTGAACCACATGTGCCTGTTACCGAGGGCACAGACCTGCAGCAAAAAACAACACAAACACGTGAACATAAATGCAGTGAATGCTCTTATGCACAAAGACACGTGTATGTTGAAACACTGGTAATAATGCGCAATCAAAAACATGCACACTGGTGTGTAGACGCAAAACTGTACATTTAGCAAAATGCTAATGTCACCACATGATTTATGATAACAGCATTCCTAGATATCTTAGATAATCCAGACTGTCTCCGTGCTCAGCCTGCTGAGAAAAGCTTTTCTGCCACACAGGATTTAATGCCAGTGAAGTTTTGTTTGTATGGACTTGGGAAAGATCCCTCGTATCCAAAGGAATGACAGCACCAGTGGCTGAGCTGAGTGTTTTGTCTTTTTTTTTTTTTTGAATTCAGCGAGTCGTTCGGAATGATAAGGACATGGATTTCTGGTTTGCATTTCTTCATTCCTTTATCATTTCAACCCTGAAGCTGCTGCATTAGGGAATTTCCTGTCACTGTTTCTACCATGTGTGAGACAGAGGTTGGTGGATGGCCTGGGACTGCTTTCGCTACTTCTTTTTTTTTTTCACTCCCATTCTCCCCCTCATCGTTGCAGAGACACATGCATAGAAACACATAGCCCCCCCCCCCCCCCCCCCCTCCTGTAGTAATGACATCCAGATTGGGCAGAAATTAAAGAGAGACAAGAGAGAGAGAGGAAGTCAGGAGAGATAAAAGTTGCCCACTTTGACTGACAAGATGATTATATGTATAAAGTAAGGGCGATTTAGAGTGTTTAGCTGGATATAAAGATGGGGAGGGGGGGATATGATGTCCTTGCTCCTCATGCAGCAGAGATGCAGTGGACAAACAGAGTTCGGAGAAGGGGTGAATAAACTCTGCTCTGTATAAATACATGCCACAAAACATCTGCTTCTCAACTCCCCCTTTCATTTTTTGATGTGGGACAGGCAGAGAAGGAGAGCGGGAGAGAAAACACAAGGAGGCAGCTACCCAGAACATCAAAGCCCCTGCCCTCAACATGCAGGCCCTCATTAGTTCAGCTAGCAGAACCAACCAGACTTGTGATTGTGTTTGCTGGGGTGCACGCTGGCAGACACTTCAGAGGAAAGGCTTCTTTAAGTCATAACTCCCCACCCTACCTCTGCCGCCACCACCCAAGCCCGCCGTAACCCCCCTGTAACCCTCTCCAAGCTCCAAACCGGGCCTGCTTCCCCCACCAATCCACTCCACCCCGTAATCTGGTGTGCAGCTGCAAACATCTGCTCCCCTCCTTATTCCTCCTGCCTTCACCACTGAATTGATAAACACATCTATTACCGGACTGCTGACTGACACGCAACACAGCGGAAGGAGCGAGGCTAAAGCTGAGTTCACCTATGGCTGTAGGGCTGGTTTCAAGGGTGTGCCGTTTATTCACTAACCCGTTTTTGTATTAACATGGTTGAAAAACAGCAGTTCCAACAAGTTAAACCACCTAGAATATTTATACAGTAATATGTATGTTATGTGCCCTCCTCTGTCACCTCATTATATTTGACACAGGAGTGGCGGCTGCCAGGAAGTATCACTTGGCATCCTATTACAGTCAGTCAATTACTTATTCATTACCATGATTCCTGTGTTAATTATTCAAGCATGTTTGCCTGCAGACTCTCTGTTACAATGGAAGTCGTTTGAATGGTTAGGACCGGTGCAATGGCACAAAATGACCATTTTTAAAAGATGATTCTTTGGAAAATCAGACCATTTGTTTTTATCATTTAAGTCAATTTGAATACACAGCCACAATAACAACAATAAAATAATAATTTAATACAAATGGGAGATTTTAAGTGTTGTCCTACATTGCAATAGGTGGCAAACATAGTTGCCATGGCGATTATCTATCTATCAGTCAATCAATCAATCAATCAATCAATCAATCTATCTATCTATCTATCTATCTATCTATCTATCTATCTATCTATC